CGCGCGAAGGGCGTCAACTCAGAGCGTATGCCAACCCACTTTGCTCTGCGGACCATTTTGGAATCCAGGTCAAAAAGAGAGGCCCTGGAAAAGATAAAGAGCGTGGGGTTAGCTGGAAGCAGTCACATTCTTCTCGGCGACCACTCAGGCCCTACTGGCCTCGAGTGTACCAGCATTGGGTTCAGGGAGCTGCCGGCTGATGAGAATGGTCGTGTCATTCATGCCAATAACTTGATATTAGATCATGAGGGCGTTCTTGAGCCGCTCTGGCTTGTAGATTCACCGAAACGTACTGCCCGTATGAGGGAGCTAGCAACGCTAGATGTTGGCGAGAACGCCGGCTTCAAGTCCTTGCTAGAGCTTTTCAAGGATGAACAAAACTTCCCAAGCTCCATTAACCGGAAGCAAATCGGAAAGAATGATTCTGGTACTCTTTTCAATGTGGTGTTTGATCTCACCGAAAGAAAGGGCATTATTTCCATTGGTCGGACGACGGAGATTGAGGAGCAAATCGAAATTGGATTCTAATGTCGTGTTCTGAACGTGCTATGAATTTACTTATAGGGTCTCTGGCCAGTATGCCCTGGCTTGTATTCTGTTTACCAACATGAAAAAAGGAATAGACTTTGGCGACACTTTGTGTCAATCTGAATACGTAATCGTGGATCGCGTTACAGTTTCGAGAACTATTGCAAATACCATCAAAAGTCACAGTGGCTCGAAGTTGCGCATGGGATGCTAGCTCATAATTCTCGTTGTTCAACGTATCGACGATTACAGATTTCGTTTTACGTACATATTCTTAATTGGACACCCACGCTGGGCACATCCAGTTCAAGAATCACAATTCAATGCTTCCCCCCGATACGACAGACTAGGAGTTTACTAACGTAAAAGGATAGCATGATCACCCTCGAATGTTGACGTAAGGAACCAAGCCATCACTCGAGTAGCAAGCTGGCGTAAAATAGACTTGTACAAATCACGTGTCGGCGTACTGTAATTGCAATATTGTGTATTTGGTAACACCTAGATCAGAGACGATAAGAACGAAACATCGGTACACACTGCTAACAATGAAGAAGATGATCATCCTCGAGTTTCACTCTCATCTGCTCGGGTTGTGTCAACACAATCAAGATGCTCCTTGTCTCTCGATTCAGCATGCCTTTCTGACAGCCCTCTCGTCCTTTCGAGACGCTGAGTCGCGCCATGACCTTTCTCTACCGAGGTTAACGCCTGCAGTTCCACCTCACATTCACATTGGTGCTACGGCCGTTCGAGGAGACTTGGATACGAGACGTCCGCTGAAGAGATCTGGGCGGATCGCCACGGAAATCGCAGACTTGCCGCACCGAGTTGCCTCCCTTGGAGTTCCCGCCGGCGCTGCGACACTGCTGCTTTGCTTGCTTTGCGAAGCTTGAATCGAAACGACTGTCAAAGTTGGACCGTGGTTCCACAGTACAGGTGCTTGCGTAAACGCTGGTAGCACCCAAAAGGAAGAACCAGAGCAGGAAATTGAAGTTCACTGACGTGATGTTAGTACTAAACGGTAAGGAACAAGGAATTGCCTTACTATTGAATTCGAAAAAGAGCCGCAATGATATGTTGTAGTACCTGAGTTATGCGTTGATTTGCTGACAAGCTGATTGCTGGTCAGGAGGAGAGAGGGAACGGGAATTTATATGTGTGGAATTAGTATCCAGGTCGTCCATGGAGAGCCGGCTATGTTTTACATGGCAAGGGCTACGTAGAATTCAAAATCCGCGTTTGGTCACGCCCGATTGGAAGCTTTGCTACCCATCATCATGTTTTCCGGAAGCTGTTTCCTTGATCTGGTCCTGAGTGGTCGGTCCGGCCTATCCAGTAATCAGATCCGTGACACAGGATTGGCCATCATGATCGGTTTCGTATTCGAGACGACCGGATGGGCAAAGCTTAACCATGCCGCCAAAACGGAAGCTTAGCCTTTGCGGCGGTGACAATAACTTCTTGCCAAGCCGCTATCGGTAATTGGTCACAAGCTGCGACACGCGCGAGGAGAGCATACTTGATGAACAAGGCTATTGAATAATCGACATCCCGTTGTCTGAGAACTAGTTAGGAAGGCTGAAGAGAGGATTAAGCTTGGTGAATTGGAATGTTTCGTCGCAGTGTCGTGACAGGATTCCTTTGGAGTTTCTTCGCGTTTGAAGTGAACCGCACCATCGCTGCAGGCGCGGGTGCTGCCTCCGTTACATCGTCTTAAATGTACCGCGCCTATGGGAGACTTCGGCATTGTGGTCTGGGGAGAAAATCCCATGCATTTCACGCGTCACCAGCAAGAAGACCTCAGTGTCACCGAACCATAAAAGCCTGGGTAGTCTGTCCACTTACAGTTGACCCGGATCGTCAACGAGTCAACGAATGTTGTTCGTGAACTTGCCCCCGCTATTATGTGGGATATATTGAGTCGTCGCGCGGTCGAACCAAAAGTGTTCTCCCAATTGAGGTCGGAATTGGAGTCTTGGCAGCTGAAGCTCCGCCCATTGTCTTGGATTTGACTGACATATAATTAGTGATCTACGAACTATAAGATCGCAATATACCCCGCGGTGGTGTGGTGACGCGCTAGCAAGCCAGCTACGGGTCCCTCTGGATCGACAATCAAGATCGGAGAGAAAACTCTCTCTTGGCTCGATTCCTGCAAACCCTCCCGGCTCACCCAGTTCCGTCAATGGTCCGGCCGTAGTGCGACTCGTGCTGTAGCCACGCCTGTAAACCTTTACTTTGAGAGTTCCCCATGTCCAAGAACGGGACGAATGCCAACGACCAGAAGCTACTCTGGCAGAGGCCGAGCGGGAAGTTCGATGCGGGTTGGCATTTCGACAGTGCCGATCAACGGCCGGCCGGTGCGTCTCGAAACAAACTCACGTCAAAACTAGGGGCCTCCTGGGAAGAGCATACTTAGAGTTCTGAATGGCGGGGCTTACGCGCTTCAACGATAAACGCAACCTCGTGCACTTATCTGCCCTCGTGGTCGTGATCGGCATTTCTTGCTGCTACGGAAAGTTCGGATCAGATAGTAGAGGTGAGAAAAGCGTAGCCGGCGCCGCAAGGTTGATTAATGGGATTCCGCCCCTGAGTCCCGGCTTGAGTTGCCTCCACAGAATTCAGGGTCCAATTATAGAGCATCCCGACTACGAGACAATCGTGATGTAACGCAAGCTTTACCCTCTCCCACTCAGCGGGCGCGCGAGCAGCGAGTTCTCTTGGCAGAGAGCAGAGTTCCAAAGTCACGATCGCTCTGCGTCGAGCACCAAGGCACAGGGCTCAGAGGGAACTTCCACGACGGGACAGCCCCTCCGCTTCGTCCACGCAGGAACACGACTCATACGAATTTTACATGAGACAATATCCAAGTTCGAGCTGCGTGGTTTCAAATACTCAGATCATGTTTGATCTTGGCGATAACTCGATGAAAGTAAAGCAAATACAGGCTGATGATCCGCAACGACCTTCCTATGATTCCGAGCTGCTTTCTTCAATAAAAGACCCACCAGCTATTCTTCTTGTTACTTTAAGTTTTAATTTCGAGATTTTACGTTCTCAATAACAATATCACGGTCAGATCATCTAGTCCATAATATTCAGAAACTTACCGAGGTGAAATGGAGCTCCCTGGATCCGCATTTACAAAAGAGAGCATTTGCAAAAGAGATGACTCGACAACTGATTGACCCGAGTGGATGGCAAGAAACGAAGTCACTTAGATATGCTACGTATTGGTCTATGCTAGTTTCCAATTTCATGCCTTAATGAAAATACAGAGAGAAGAGTAGATACCATGACATGGATCAGAGTAGCGTTTGTTATGAGTTAATGACACTTAATCTGTCTACATTATGTATAGACTGGAACGAAGCTCAATTCAGCTCTGAAAGCCATAGTCGAATTGGGTAGTCGAAAATTGGATGGTGGTGTTATCTAATGGTGATGTTTTTGGCGCGGCACTTGGCCTACGTACATATGCGATCTCGGTGGCATTATGGTCGCATCCGAGAAGAACAGTATGTTACCTACGAGAGCATCTGTCGCGGCTGTTTCTGCTGGTTGTCTCGAAGGATTCATAAATGACAGCCCCTCAAAAAACGCAAGCACGGCGTGAAGCTTATATTAGGTGAACGCAACAGCGTTTGCGAAAGTCAAGTTGCCTTATCTTCGGACTGCCTCCGTGTACCGCTCCCCGGACAATCCCGGAAGGCGGCAGAAGCTCCACATCTGCGGCGGCGGCGGCGGCGGCTAGTACCGTTCAGTTCGGGACACAAGCTTGTTCCCGGGGCTTTTGCTCGGCGGGTGCGACATGAGATCCGTGGGATATCCGGGCAGCATAGAGCCGATAGCCCTGAGCTTCGCTCTCTCTATCTCATACTTCTGTACTTGACTTTCCGGCTTTCCCAACTAGTTCAGTAAAATGGGACTAAATACCCTCAACGGCCATCTCTCAGCTATTCAAACAACAATTTTCTTCCAGATAAACTTCGCACGCGCGTAACTTCACCGATTTTGGAAGGTCCACACAGCTCTGGGTCTTTCTTTTCTCTTTCGGTAAGCTAATGACGGCAAGGGGGCCAAACCCGAGGTTCAGATGCGGAACATCAACATGGCTCAGTACGAGACCGAAATCGTGTTTTGGGTGACTAGATACATCTCGTGGTACATGGACCGCGAAACAAATTAGAGCTCCGGCTTGGTAGTACGTATTCTGGCTTTGGAGAGGCCTCCTCTTTCTCGTATGTCTGGATTTCTATTTCTACCTTCTTCGAAAAGCCTGCATGTGCTCTTTGACACACTCGCAGCTACTGTGGAGGAGAAATAAAGGGCAGATTGGGGTTGACATAGTTGTGACACTTCGACGTCTCGGCTGGAGCTTTCAGCTAACGAAGAGACTTAATCGGTAAGAATTGCAAACTATCAAATAGTCGTTGCTGAGGAAGTGGCAGTCTGTAGTATGAGCTACCTTAAATATCACGAAGTCTGCAGAGAAGGAAGAGCTCGTCTGGGTTAGAGTCGAACCGCTCCAAGGCCCTGAACTCATGGCCCGGTGAAGCTAGAGGAAAATCGAAGTTTCGTACCAGAGATGAGATGAGCATGAGCTGCTCAAAGTAGGCAATGTTTCTGCCAATGCATGCTCGAGGTCCTGTATTGAATGGAAGGTGGACCTTAAGCATCTTCTCCTTATTTCCATCAATCCAGCGCTGAGGTCGGAATGTCTCAGCATCCTTGAAAGCCTCGACGTCCCGCAGTAGAGTGTAGGTTGGGACTGATACAGTGACGCCCTCGCTCACGAACTGCCCTGCGATCACCCGACCGCCCTCCGGCAAGGCCCTAGGCAAGCCCATTGAGCTTGCCGGTCGAACGCGGAGGGATTCCTCAACGCAGGCTTTGAGGAACGGCAGCTAGCCGATGGCGTCGCAGCTCGGTACGGTATTCTGCACAATGACGGGGTCCAGTTCTTCTCGAAGTTGCTCGAGTACGCTAGGGTGGGTGTAGATGAGGTGTACAGCGTTTGTGAGAGCAGCCGTGGTTGTCTCCGTGCCGGCATTCATCATGACCGAGCATTCCGCCAAAAGCTTGCCAAAGGGCAAGTTTACCGGCTAGCCATTATTTTTAGCCATCAACTTTTGGGATATATCCCTGTCCTTGTCTTTGGATGCGAAACGCGCCTTGGTGCAGTGCAGGATGATATTATCGAAGTCCGCGCCAGCCTTCTTGTAAGGATGCCATGAAAAGAACTTTCTGGTCAAGGGCAACAGACCGGCTTCCATTCCAAGGACGGTGTTGATTTGAGTAGCGTGTAGTAAAGATTGAATGAAGGGAACTTGATGGACATTCCCACCCGGCGTTTTGGCGTTGACTATGTCGCTATTACGCTCCAAGCAGTTGAGTGAACTGCCAAAGAGCATTGTTGAAAAAGCATCGATGGTGAAGTAGTTGAAATACCGGCGCATATTGACTGGTCTCTCATCTTGCGCATGCTTTCTGAGTTGTGATATCAAAGTGCGAATCGTTTCAGCAATGACGGGCTCTTGTTCCGATAAGGACCTTTGCGCAAAGACATGAGCAAGTAATTTGCGCTTTCTCTGATGCTTGGTCTTGATTTTTTTGTCCGACATATGACGGAACTCTCCGGCGCCTCCATCGTATCAAGCATCCTTGAGAAAGTTGGCACCGTGGCCGCAAATATCATAGACAGCGCGAGGATCTGAGATGGAAACGTAGTTTGGACCAATGCGGACGTGCGTACTAGCGTTTCGTGAGCTTCGTGCACCACTATGAAGTGCCGATATCTCAAGCAGTGGAAGATGCGCCACAAGGATGAGATACCGGCAACTCCGGGGCTAGGAAAGATTCGAAGGCCTTTTCTGTCGACAAAGTAGTTTGTTATCGGTCCGCCGATAATGACCCAAAGGATCACAGCAGGGATGGCTGCATAGAATGTTAACCAGATAACTTGGCGCGACGGACCACAGGTGTGGCTCACCAAGTAAGGTAGCAGCAGCATGTTAAATCTTCCTCAAGGCTAGAATATTTGAAAGCTCGATGACAATGAATCTTCTACAGTGGTTTCGCTGCATGATGGTTCACTCTTATATCTGCGATTCACCTCAGCTATGATTTACACTCGAGCTTTCCAGTGCCTAAAACACCACTTACAAAGAGCATCCCCATCCTAGGTACGTTCGCAAAATAGGAAATCCCGTCAATCCTGCATATTTTTAGTTTCCTACAGAACATTGTCGCTAAGCCATAAAGGTGACACGCCGACATTCGTCAGGCCGTAGGAGGCGGTTGGCGGTCGGCTCTCATCAGGCACCCCGATGGAGCTAATGTCGGACGGGCATTCCGATTGAGGAAATGCGCCTCAAGTCTGTCCATTCCAGGTTTCTAGATTTCCCGACACCGAGCCAAGAGGGCAACTGGTCAAGGAAAATGCCAGTTTCCTCACCTGTACAAATTGGGCGGTGGCACTGCGTCACTTTCGCTAACCTTCATTCCCAGTCACCAATTGTCAGGTGGCAGCTCTTGTGAGGAACTTAGCCAGTCAAAGACTGGATGTTCGCCAGCGAAGTTTGAGAAATTCGGGCGCTAATTGGTTTTGTAACGTACGTCTTTCGGGCTACCACTAATCTGGGCAGCGCGTACCATGACTCAAATCAGTAAAAAGACATACTAGCATCAATATCATTGCGCTGGTACGCGAATGGTGCCAAAGCTGCCGCTACAGATGTTGCTACTACATTTATACAGCAAATTCCTGGTGCTCTGCCGTTAACGGGCCATTCGGCATACCCTTGCCTTTGTCTTCTGAGCTCATTTCTCCCGAGGATTCGCTTTCCGAGAATACATGACTCCTCCAAGCTCTGACGGGTATCCTTTCAGTGAAAAATCTCGAAATCTCCAAACTTGATCTGCCTGCGGTTTCGCCCACACAAAACCATGTCCACAGTATGGAGAGACACGTCGTTCCAGCGTATACGAAGCCTACCATTGGACCTAGTCCAGCATCGTAGTATAAATAGGGCGCGGTGAACGAGACCACCCAGGTTGTCAGGTAAAAAATGACGATACTCGCGGACATGATCTTGTTCTGGTTGGGACCGACTGCCATTTCCCGAGCGACGGTGTACGCAAGGGGGCCAAGACCGAAGTTGAAGCCAACTACGACGACAAAGGAAAACACTACAATGACGTATTGTGTCGAAGATGTAAGCGGCTTGACCGCCACGCCGCCGATAATGATGAAGGCCACCAGCATCATCAAGTTGGTGATCATGAGGTTGGTACGGCGGCGCACTTTGTTGACAGTGATTATAGAGGCGCCTACGGCGAAGATTTGAACAATGTTGGTGACCAGTTGAACGAGAAAAGGGTCGCCCAACCCAATTGCCTGTACGAATACAACACCATAAACGTAGAAGAACAGAATGCCGCAGATCTGCTGACTGAACATGGCTCCAGCCGAGTAGATCAACTTGCGTCTTTCGATGGGATCCGTTATCAGGGCTCCCCATGAAGAGAATTCGGCATGTTCCTCTTCGACATTTTTGGCATTTTCAGCTGTAGCCATATCCTCTGACGGGTCGTAGTTCGGGTTGCTCTGATTGATCTTGCGAAAACTTTGCTCGGCCTCTGTACGACGGCCCTTGAGAACGTACCACAGCGGGCTCTCTGGAATGAAGGGAAGAAGGGCGGCCATGATGAGAGGAAGAATGACAAGGCCTCCCATAGGAATACGGTATCCCAGAGAGCTTGCGATGCTCTTGGTGCCCTGGTTGATCGCGGATGCGCATAATTGAGACCAGGATTGGAGAAATTGGAAGCACATGAGTGCCGGTCCTCGGATGCCCAAGGGTGCAACTTCACCGATGTACAGCAATGAAGTGACGGTAAACTGGCCCACTCCAAGGCCAATCAAGATGCGTCCGACCACAAGTAGGGCTTCTGAGCTGATTGTGTCTGCGACTTGACAAATGCCGCCGATGAATATGCAGAATGAAGCCAGCCAGAACGTGGACTTTCGGCCGTAGCGATCATTGAGGGGAGCAGCAATCATTGCGCCAAGCAAGTCGCCAATGTAAATAGCGGAAGCTGTGAGAGACTGGAAAGATGAAGACAGAGCGAGCTTGCCGGTGGCATCACGGACGTCTCCGTAATCATTCTTGAACTCCTGCATGGCCAATACACCGTTGTAGTACGTATTGTCATATCCATAGCAGAGGGCTCCGATGGCTGATACAGCACAATAAAAGATTGCCCATTTATGATGTACCCAGGTGGTTCGTAGTGGCATTTTGAAGTATAAAAACCGGACGTTTGGCCAGGATGACGGGTGTTTCGAAAGCAGTGGCGTACGGCAAGTGAGGAATTCTAGAAGAAAGACAAGCTTAGACCACAAGAAATAGGGATGATGAACAGGTCGCCTGAAGAACTCAGACCAGACTTTTGGGAGCGGATCATGGTTCCAATTTAAGGAAATCTCATCCGGGGCATCTGGGGGGTTGCGGGGTGCAGGTCTGGGGAAAGTTGTTATTGTAGACGTTGGAGTAGTACAAGGATGTGGAGAGACTTGTACGATCCGGGGAGGCCGACCGTGCCTCCTGAGATTTACCAAATGCGGACGTCCGACGTGAAAGCCGCCGATCGAGCTTTCATGAGGCAATGCTTGCTAGTCAATACATGAACCCCAAATTTGACGGGAAATCGAACTGACGAATAAGCTAGGTTTCAGTCGTCAAGTCATCGGGATGAGGTCTCGGACGACTGAGTCAAGCCTTTCCTTCTGCGAGACTTCAGCACCACGATAGTAAATACGTTGTACATTGAGCTCGACTACTCGATCCATTTGTCAGCCTCGATCTCAGAGTCCATGTAGGATTAAACAATCTAGACCTTTCCTAGTCTCGCGCTCAGTGTGCAGAGCTAAAGGGATACCATAACACGGTCAGTTCCTCGCTGGAACATGCAATTTGACGCGCTGGCTGTGCCCAGACCGACACTTTGATCTCTGTCCGCGGAGGCAATCACTATTACTACTCAGGCTTAGCCAGGATTGAAAGTGCTCCAGGCTTCTTCTGCCTTATCCCTGTGACCGACAGAAACTTCTCTTTCGGTTGGAAAGGGGCTTATCTCGCTGGCACGTTCGATTCCATGCTCGAGCGGGGTCAAGAATTGAGTGGCCCCTGAGACCCTCATGGCCTCGACCACAGATAGCACGCCTAGTTTTGGAGGCCACTTGATCTTACCCAAAGAAGCAGGTCAATGACGGTGTTGGCAACAGCACTTTGAGCGAGAGATCGCTTTGTGTAGGACTAAGTATGTAATATCGATTTTTTACACATGTTCAGTGCCTCCTGTACTTGATAGCCGAGGAATTCCTTCCATGCGAGCACGGAAGCTTTGGTTGGACTAGGAGCCTCATACTACTTCCATAGGGGGGTTCAGTATGTAGAGTGAAGTTTGGAGAAGAGGCTGTGTCAGATACTTCATTTCCTGCACCTATGTCTACTGCATTCCGGCATGAGACTTTCGATTGGGGGCTTGCCCCTACAAAAGAAAATCAAAATTTGAGCAGCGAGCAGTATGGAACACTTGGCGAAACAAGTAGTAGATGTTGATGTTTCCATGAAGCCCCTAGTGACATGAAAGTTGCGTTATGGTCGGGTGCTTACTATTAGTACGAACTTCCAGGCAGCCGGTCAAGCCGATCCTTAATAATGCGACCATCCCCATAAGCCGAAGCATCTCGATACCCAGAGTAAAGTTCATGCGCCCTGAAGTATGAAGCTGTCTACCATCTCCGTCTCCATCTGTCTGCGACTGCTATATGCTTCTTTTACCCACACATGCCGAAGCCAGACTGCAATGTGAGGAAATGCGAGTGCTGCTTCAATACTTGTAAGAGTGGCTCGTGAAAGTGAGAATTAAAATTTATGGCCAATATAGATCCATCTAGTCTTCAATAATTCAATAGTTAATGAGACAAAGTCACGGGCATTGCCTGTGACAATCCGTCGCAAAAGGGACCCGCTCCGCACATTCTTATAAATCAAGTGCGGACTTCCTACTTGGGCACCAGTTGTGACGTTTATGTCTCCTACGAAACCAGTGCCAAGTAAACTAAACCCGCTATCTTTGCATGACATTCAAGAGTGAGCATCTTACTTGGTACGTCAGTTGCGGACCTTGAGTAGTTTTAAGTTCACTTCTAGTTGGCCTCTGTGCAAACTCCGCCTACCCAGTAGGTATAAAGAATGAGCAGGTTCAATGCGGTCATTATGTTATTTGACCGACGTATGGCCTTTTGACATCAAAAACTCCTAGAAATCATCATTGGTCTTCAGCTCACACAACAAAGCCAACATGAAGGTGGCTCTTATAGGCGGGACAGGAGAGACGGGCAGCACCATTGTCAATGCTCTTCTCGAATCGGACATTCCAGCCTTGGTAGCGTTCTTTCTAATCTTCATTGTTCATCCGATCCGGGAGACTAACCATCAGTGGTGATAGAAAATTATCGCCATTGTTCGACCTGCCTCTGAGAGGAAGCCTGATGTTGTCGCGCTTGAGAAGAGAGGAGTTGGCGTCGCCGTAGTTGATCTTGAGGGGCCAAGGGCTGAGCTCGTTGATGTTCTAGAGGGCGCTGACGTCCTGATCTCGACCATCCACGTCAGTGCACTTGGCAGCCAGATTCCTCTTGCCGACGCCGCCAAGGCCGCAGGTGTAAAGCGATTCGTTCCTTGTTTCTTCGCCACCGTTGCGCCAGCCAAAGGTGTCTTGACGTTGCGCCAGCTGGTAAGGAGCTCCTGTCAGGCTGCAGGTCCACAACATTTGCGCTAACTGTGATCGATGCACTGGCAAAGAAAGAGGAGGCTCTTCTTCATGCAAAGAAGATTCGGCTTCCGTACACGGTCATTGATGTCGGTTGGTGGTATCAGCTCAGCATTCCGCGCCTTCCGTCTGGACGCATTGATTCGGCTACCCCTTTGCCGGTTAACTTCATTGCTGGCGATGGCAGCACTCTTTCTGCACTGACGGATGTGAGAGACGTTGGAAGGTTCACAGCGCGTATCATCGCTGATCCCCGTACCATCAACAAGATGGTCTTCGTCTATGGCGACATTCTCTCACAGAATCAGATTTTCAATATGTTGGATGAGATGAGTGGCGAGACTACTAAACGAGAATACGCAAGTATCTCTCAAACGCAGAGCATTAATTTGGAAGTTGGCTAATATGCCTGCTTCATAGATGCCTGCCGAGGCTATGGAAAACGCTATTGCTGCTGAGTCTTTGACGGCAGACGCCATCGAGAAGAGTGCTTTTGATAACAGGATGAAGATCTTTTACGAGTATTGGTACTCCATGGGAGTCCGCGGAGACAACACCCTAGAGTATGCCGAGTTTCTCGGGTACGTTGACGGCACTAAGTTGTACCCTGACTTTCAGCCCATCACATTTGAGGCTTTCCTGAAGGAAGTCCTTGATGGAAAGCCAGTAGCTATCTATCGCACTCTTGAGCAAAATGTAGCCAAAGCCGAAAACAAAGCTAAGGCTTGAAACTGTAGCTCGATCCAGCCACTAGTATTTTTTACTATTTTATCATTTACTATTTTATCCATAGTAATTGGATAAGTCCTTGGAATTAGTTTTGGGGCGACACGGAAATAATCTTTCCATACCTTCGCGACATGAGGAAGGTAACCGAGGTTTGTAAACTCTGTTGAAGATCTTTAGTACCCTGATGAAATTCTTTTAAAAAAAATCTAAGTTACGCAAAGAGCCAGCGTAATAGTTTTCCTGACGAAGCGAGGACTTGAACCACCTCAATCTCGATATGCTATGGTGATGTCAAATAGATCTCTTTAGATGTCAGGTAATGCGAAGCATTGAGAGCGTCAACTAACACTATTATCTGCCCCTTCTCTGGTCTTTTACATACTGTCCATTCAACACACCCAGCTCACATAAGTCAAAGGACCACAAGAGCAGCTAATAAAGTGGCGGGAAATATGATGATGAAGCCCCAGGGACGGATTGCTCCGCCTTCAACTTCCAGAGGTTGTCAAAATTTACAGTAGGCTGCTAAAGTTAGCCGGATGCAGGAACCGAATCCACGCGGGGCAACGTCCAGGCTCCATGCCGCTCTAATCCCCGTGGTGGGGACACAGAAAGCCCCCTTTACCGCATGTCCATGCCCTCCGTAGGTGAACAACACGATTTTCCTATGGGTTCATTACTCCCTCTACCTATGTTCCATAACCGGGATACTTGGTCTCTGTGTTCTGGATTCACTCGGTGCACTGCCGTTCTCCTTTCCAGCTTTAGGCAGTTCGCCACTGTTACGTCCAAGTTGCCCTCCGTACGATGAGTGGAATTGAATGGGAAGCCTCTTTCTAAGCTACTTGAACATCGAGATGTCATTTCCAGAAGATGGATATTTCATGAAGACTTGGCGGAAGTTAGGCAAATATCATATCAAACGACGAGAAGACCATAAAGGCTCAAGCCTCTTAGCATCCTGGAACAAGACACCAGGTGAGTTCAGGGTTTCGAAGGACCACGACAGACTACGGAATCCGCCAACTCTGCGAGAGGCCCCCTGAATCTTCATGTAAACCAAATACGCGACTTACCAGATGGAGTCGCTAGGCTTCAACTTTCAGCATACGCCTGTCATACTTTGCCCCTGGCAAAAGAACCGCCTAATCGTTAGATGGTCCTGTCAGCACGTTGACCAATGGCAGCTTTCCTTAGGAAGCTTCGACGGCGGAAAACGAGCCTAGCCGAAGCGCTTAGCTTGGCTTAAGACTTTGAAGATATTAACTTGGCAAACCTTAACTGAGGCTCTATTATTGACATCCCGTCCCGGTAAGCCCGAATAGAACTCCGGATTATGATGCTAGAACGCCGTACCCTCGCTTACGCAAGGTTCGAAGTGATCCCTTGCCGTGGAATGGCGACGAGTAGTACAACGATGGCAGGCTTCCGTCAACCTGCGAGTTGACGTAGCAGACTTGGTCAACTGCCTTGAAAGTACCGGATAAATGCACTAGCCATGTTCCCAACACCGCATTCCCTTTCGTTCCTTCTCGTTTAGGAGCGTCTACTTTAGCCGCCGGCTCCCCGGGTGCAATCGGCAGCTACACCGGTTGCGCCATCACAGTAAGTCAAACTCCTCAAGAGACCTTAATCCAGGAGAGTATATAGTTACTGACCGAAGTGAAAGTGTGAAACTCTCGCGACCAAATTTCCTAACCAGGTCTACCTCGGCGCAACCAACGGCACGGACTATGTGGCGTCTCGGGAAGGCTTCTGGTCAACCATCCAAGGCGACGTATCTCCCTCCTGCTTCTTTCAGCCTGTCAGTACCACCGAGGTCTCAGTCGCCCTTAAAGATATCCCAAACACAGGCTGTCGGTTCGCAGTCAAAGCGGAGGCCACTATACTTATACAGCTTCGACCATTGAGGGAGGTCTCGTGATTGACCTGGTCCGGCTCAACGGAATCACACTGAGCGAAGACAAGGGCTCGGCGATTGTGGAGCCTGGAAACACTTGGGCTTACACATATGAGAATCTCCAGAAGTCTGGCGTGACCATCCCTGACGGTCGGATGTTTGGAGTGGGTGTCGGTGGGCTCACTCTTGGTGGAAAGTCAACCTCCGCATCCGAGTCTTTGGCCCGATGTCTCTGAGTAAGTACATTGCTTATGCAGACTTAGGCGGACTCTCTTGGCTCAGTAATCGCTACGGATGGACTTGCGACAACTAGATCGAGTTTGAGGTTGTCATGGCCAGCGGCGAGATTGTGAATGCATCAACAACACCAAACCCCGACCTCTACTGGGCCCTTCGGGGAGGTGGCAGTAACTTCGGTGTTGTCACCAAGTTTAAGTTCAACACATTCCCGCAGGACAAGATGTGGTACGCGAAGCTCCATCACGACGCCGCTGAGAACATCACGGCCAACGCGGCTTTCGCTGACTGGAGTACGATTCAATCCCCCAAATATCTTAGCAACGCGGCGGTTTTGTTCTGGAACGCCCAAGCGAGTGGAGCCCCCGTTGGCGTCGCGATTTCAGTGCACCAGAAGACATTTGACAATAACACCCATCCTCCCGTCGTCGACAAGTTCTACGACTCTAAGCCATCAGCCATTGAAGCAATAAACGTCTTCCATGTAGATATTGCCGAGAACCTTCTCTTCCCCGCCAGCATCTTTCGAAGTTCTTTGTGGACCACGTCCTTATCCTGGACGCCAACTTGCTGCAAGTGGCATTCGAGATCTGGAACGAGGAAGCCAGCGCGCTGGCTTCCATCTCCATCCAGCAGATCCAGATCCAGGCCATCAACAAATCCCAGCTGGAGTTGATGCGACGAAACGGCGGGAATCCTTGCCGACTCGGGGAATAGTCGCAGCTTCTTGGCTTTGTGAACCTACGGGCAAGGTGGGAGAACGCAAAAGACGACGATGCCATCTACAGAGCTCAGCTGCGCACAGAAGAGAGAATCAGCAAGGTGGCAGATGAGATGGGCCTTGCTTCGGGCTACAAGTATATGAATTACGCCAGCCAATTCCAGGATCTGTTTGATGGTTATGGACAGGCCAACAAGGAACGGCTGAGGTCAATTGCTGAGAAGTATGATCCAAGCGGCGTTTTCCAAGAACTCTCCCCTGGCGGCTTCAAGGTTACGAAAGGTGCCCCTCAGATCCTCTGAGTGGATCAGTAAGAGGGTTGAAAGTCAAATTTGTCTATAATTCAAGTTGCGTGCTAGTTTTACTTTTTCTAATGATTTACAACTTAGACTTTGCGTCCTCCTCACGACCCTTCAGGTTTGGGTGGGGAACTCTGACGGGCCGGGTAACGGCGTAGAAAGCAAGGCCTTCTGACTTGGTAGAGAACTAGACAGAGAGAATACATCATGAGCTTGGAAGTTATAAACATAGGGAATATAAGCTTACCTTGACCTTGGATCCGACGTGGAAGAAAGCAAAATCTCCAGGTACTAGATGGTGGGTGATCCCAGTAGCCTCATCCTGTTAAAGCCACGCTAGTCAGCTCCCTATCTCATGTGCCCCATAGCTTTACACGGTTACGAAGTGACTTACCAAGATGTCGATTTGACCGTTGAGGACGTACTTAGTCTCCTCAAAGTTGTAGTGCGCGGGACGAGCGGGTCCTGCGACAATCTTGTAGAAACCCGAGGTGAAGTGAGCAGGTGAGTCCTTTGTGTTTGTTCGGATTCTAGCAAGTTCTCAGCATTTGTTTACCACTTCATACATAAAAGGTTTCTTACGAGTGGAAATCGGCAACAGTCGCGTTCTCGCCCTCCGGGAGGGGGATATACTCGTGGCCGGCGCCCTTGATAACAGTGAGGGGGACTAGGTTTCCAGACACTGATAAGACACTGGTCAGTTACATGCATATTCGGGCACTCAAAGATCAGCAACCCAACTCACTTTTGGTGTTTCTTTAGGTTGCAAGTTGAATCAAGGAATTGTTTCGTTCACAATTCGATTGAAGCTCATTGATATAAGACATCTGTATCTAAGATCGGGTATGCTGCCGACAGGGTCTCGGGGCTTTCTCGGAGTGCGGGGAACCGCTGTGATGCGATCGGAATCCGACCCGGAGGGCCTGCATTCAGGGCCGGTTAGATACCCGCCGCCGTAAATCGGTGCGCGGGGTTCCGGGAAAGTCCCGAAAGTCGATCAGTGATGTGATTGTGGCTTGCCTATTTGAAGACGCAATGGTGAGGAGACATGCTGTCATGGAGGATGTTGAATGCAGTACTGTAGTGGCTACTCTACATAAGGTACATCAACCTAAGAACGTAACTTGGCGTCATCGTTGAGTGCCAAACTGTCTTGAGAGAAAACTTTCATGTCACAATTCTTTTCTGCTTTCCACCTCGGCTCTGCGTCTAACTATATCTTCTAGGTCGCTCTTGGGTTTTATGTAGGGTTTGATGACCTCCCGGGCCTGGACCTTCTGCTCAAAGTCGTACGCGATGCTAATCAGTGTTTCCTCACTGAACGGAGCCCCCGCAAAACCAATGCCAAAGGGTAAGTTCGGTGCCACAGCATTGAGCGTTCCAGTCTTGTCTTTGATAATTTCGGTATCGTCCGGATGCCTCCCAAACGGTACCGATATCACCGGTGTACCGGATATGGCAGCATTCATCACAGCAAACGCCGTCGGCAGTACTATCGCGTCCAGAGAATGGTTCTTGAGAGCTCCTGTGTATCCTTGGGGACCAGTCAGGTACAGAAGCCGGAGGTGCACATCCCAAAATTCCGGATCTGTGTTACGCAGACCTTCTGCTAGGTTGTTGTCCCATGAGAGTGTGTTCTTCTCAGGCCATTGCTCGCGAGAGTCATGCTGGGTCCAGTCCCGGAGCTCACGAAGCGTGGTGATGTTGTACGGGTTGGTCGCCAATTGCCCAAAGTACTTTTCTATGGCAACGGCGAAATCTGCGTGAAGGCTCTTGGTGAGGAGCGCGGAGATTTCGGTCATGTTGTATCCTGGCAAAACAATGTCGTCTATGATTTCCGCACCTGCAGACCGGAGAATGTCGACGGCCGAGTCGAATACCGTCACCGAGTAGTTGGAGAGAGGGGCTTCTTGAGGGTCGTGTAGCACATGTCGTGGAATTCCCAATCTCTTGTTCAGCAGCCCCCCCTTAACGCATGCCGCGGCGTAGTCTGGTGTCTTCGGGAAAGGAAATTTAGACGTGTAGTTATCGCTAGGGTCCACCCCGGCGATGGCACCCAGGAGATGAGCAGCATCTTTCACGGTCCGAGCGATAGGTCCAACAACATCTTGGTGCTCCGAGATGGGCACAACGAGGTACCGTGAGGTGAGGCCAAGAGTCGGCTTGATGCCCACAACGTTGTTGACGTCACTGGGCAACAAAATCGAGCCGGCTGTCTCAGTCCCCAGGGACGCCCACGCCAGACCGACCGAAGACGCGACGCCGCTGCCCCCCGACGAACCCGATGGGTCTTGAAAGGGGTAATATGCGCCCAGGGTCTGACCGCCATACGTTGACCACCCATTGCTCGAATTGGAACTCCGGCATTCGGCCCACTGCGACAGGTGTGCTTTGCCGAGCAATATCGCCCCCGCTTTCCGGAGCTTGGCGGCGACGGTGCTATCTTCGGAGACTTTAGCGCCGAGGAGGGCATAAGAGCCGGCCGTGTTGTTCATCTTGTCTGCCGTGGCAATATTGTCTTTGATCAGGACGGGGACGCCGTGTAAGGGGCCGAGAAGCGGTCCGCCCTGTCGGCGGATGAGGTCCAGAGTTTCGGCGATGGAGACGGCATCCGGATTGATCTCGGTGACGGCGTTGAGGGTTGGCGTGGTCTCTTCAATGCGCTCGATGTAAGCATTAACGAGGTCGACGCTGGTGAAAATTCCACTGCTCAGACCGCGATTGAGGTCGTCGAGTGTAGCATCGAGGAGCGACGGAAACGCGCTGGCTGGTTTCTGTCCACATGTTGTCCATCCCGAGGACGGCCAAATGAGACAGACGGTCGCCTTGAGGAGTGAGAACGACAGCATGATTGAAGCCTCAAGTTTGAGCCCGGTCTGGTTCCACAACGTGATATCAATGGCAAACAGTTGTCGTGGTCTATTCAGTATTATTCGATGTGCGCGGGGTTTCCTCAAGTAGCCGAGTCAATTGACTCATTGTTTAAAGCATTCATTATTGAGGCCAATCGACTGCGTGGAATATGGGAAGATGGCGCGAGTTTGCGATTCTTAGTCAGTCGTCTTACGTGCATCGAACGTACGTCACAGCATAAGCAATCGCTAGGAGGGGAATCAAAAGATCTTTCGTTTCTGAGATTTGGAGGAAGCAAGAAATGCTGGCAACCTCCATAGAGCCTTGCGGACTGAGAAGTCGCAATAATCAACCCCAAGGAATAAGAATGTAGGAATTAAACCTGGTGTCGCGAATTCCGGCAGTCATCACCCCACATCGGGAGCGGGAACACAACGAGGAGGTCCACGCGATCGGTCCTCGCCGCTGTTCGCAGCCGTGGAGGAAGGTGACATTGTGGATTCGTGCTAGAAAAAGTTCCTTGAACGCGGTAATTCAGGCCATTTACCGCTTTACGTACGGGGCGCCGTTTGCTCTCATATGAATGATTCGAACCACCTACCAAGATCAGAAGAGCGCTATGCCTGTTGGGGCAGGTCGCATGAACGATCCTCAAGCGTGGCCGGGGGATTTAAGCTTATGATTGGTCACGATGATAGCTAATTTTGTGGGCATGGAGACATGGGGTAGATTTCCAGAGTGAGAACTGGTTTGTGAGTAGCCAGTTGGTTGAATGAGATGTTATGGCCGAGACAAAGCCAGCCGTTGTGGACATCATGGAAACGACTATGAAAGCAGGCCAAATCCCCCATCTTCTTAAGCATACTTGGCGACGGGCCGTTCCTCTTGCATCCTTCGCATCCTTCCGCTTCCCATCGTCTCGATCACCATGAAGTACTCTCTCATCGCGTCTCTGATACTCCAGAGCACTGTTGTGCTCGGAGAGTTGCTCCCTGTGTACCTGCAGGGGCCCTCGCCCGAGAGCTTCAGGTAACACCTCATCATCAACTCATCCGGCCTAGACACTAACAGCGTATAGGGACATTGTTCGCAATGACACTCTAGACTTTGGCTGCAGAGCTGTTGCCAAGCCCAGCGAGGATGGAAGCCACTACAAGCTCCACGCCTGGCTCACCGAGGAGCAGATTGACTATCTCTCCAAGGAGTACAAGCTTGTGCCTGAAGTCTCTATCCACAGAAGAGACTTGAGCAAGAGAGCCAACGCGCCCATCGGGACCGGTGACCGCTTCAGTGCGGGAACCATCTCCCCCGTCGGTCTCGGAACCCAGGCTTCGGGCACCACCATCTCCAGCATCATGAATGTTGCTGAGATCAAGTCGGCCTGCGACGCCCTTGTCAAGAACTATGGCATCGGATCTCTCACTCTGCCGTACAAGACTTTCAACGGCGCCACCGAGTACGCCTACTACGTCGGCGCCGGAACCGACAAGTCAAAGTACCACCTGTACTTCAGTGCTGCCGTTCACGCCCGTGAGCGCGGTGGACCCGACAACATCATCTACTGGATCTCCGATCTCCTTGCCGCCAACAAGTCCGGCAGTGGCCTGACCTACGGCAAGAAGTCCTACACCAACGCCCAGGTCAAGAGCGTCCTTGCCGCAGGCATCGTCTTCTTCCCCCTTGTGAACGCCGACGGTGTCGCCTACGACCAGTCTTCCGGCTCCCTCTGGCGCAAGAACCGCAACACCAAGTCCGGCTCCAGCGGCAGCTCAATTGGTGTCGATATCAACCGCAACTTTGACTTCCTCTGGAACTTCAAGAAGTACTTCGACTCTTCCGAGGCGCCCGCCTCCACCTCGCCTAGCTCCGAGGTCTTCTACGGCACCGCCGCCGAGTCCGAGCCCGAGACCAAGAACCTCGTCTCTGTCTACGACTCCTTCCCCAAGATCCGCTGGTTCATGGACATCCACTCCGCCGTCGGCGACCTCCTCTACAGCTGGGGTGACGACGACGACCAGACCACCACCTCCACCATGAACTTCCTCAACTCCGCCTACGATGGCAAGCGCGGCCCCGTCGGCGACTCCGCTTACAAGGAGTACATCCCCTCAACCGATCTCAGCAACATCAGAACCGTCGGTACGGCCATGGTCAACGCCATGAAGGCTGTCGGTGGTCGTGCGTACACCTCTATCCAGGCCGTCGGCCTGTACCCCACGTCCGGCGCCAGTGACGACTACTCCTTCTCCCGTTTCTGGGCCAAGCCCGGTGTCAACAAGGTCTATGGCTACACCTTGGAGTTTGGCCCCTCTGGAAACTTTTACCCTACCTCAGCCGAGTTCAACACCAACATTTTGGATACGAACGCCGGCTTCATGGATTATGCGCTGGCTGCTATCAGCCTTGGTCTGGAGTAAATCATGTGATGGGATATCATCAAAATTCTTCGTGTAAATATTTTGCCACCGTGTTGAGCAAGGAGACGCACGCACATACTGCACGAAAGCTGTGGTCTATGATTGTTACGCAATTGAACGACTTATTAATCATGACTTAACATATGCAGTTTCCCTACAGTAATCCATAGGTAATACCCTGATAGTAGCTTGATTAGCTACGTGCTTGAGTCTTAAGTATCTGGCAAATCCATGAAGTGCTACTTGCGAGCGATCACCGCAACTGGTCTTATCTACCTACTCCTGCCCTCCTCGCAATTCTATGCCAAAGGGTTGAGAATGTTGACCTAGGCAAATTATCTCTGCGCTTGGTTGGTGAAGCTTATTTATCATCCCTGGTTAAGGAAGGATCACAGAAAACAACCTTTCCAAGCTTGAGCGCCTTCATGAAGAGACCTCATGGTCTGGGAGGTATCCGTTGTCACAATTGTTTTTACCTCACCGAGAGAGTCAAAAGAGCTGTTGTCCGGTGAGTATACAGTATCACACAGTACAATTAGTGTTCATGGGCGGCGCCACCAGTGGCGCTATGAAATGGGGAAGTCCGGCGTGCGATCCTAGCGTGAGGTGACAGTTAAAACATACCTCAACCTCATGGTCGATAACGCCCCGTTTCTGTGACGATACAAGCTTGAATTTGATTACTAGGGAACTCAATTGAGGCTTGAAGTTCCATTCTCCTGATGACTATTTCGCACATGGCGTCCGAACCTCAGCAACCTTCGGCCGGCCCGCCTCGCAAGGGTACCGACCCAGACTTCGTCCCATGTTCAACCAATTGCGGAGACTAATCAATCTTAGTTGACGTCTTCACCGGAGACGTCGTTCACCACGACACTTACCCTGAGATCAACCCAGTCACGGCTTCCAACTGCACTGGGAAAGCAGTCCTCATCACAGGAGCAAGTAAAGGACTCGGAAAGGCAGTGGCAATCGGCTACGCCGAGGCAGGCGCATCACTCATTGCCGTCGGCGCTCGCTCAAATGTCTCATCTACCATCGCCTCCATCATCGAGGCCGCAAAGGCTGCTGGGAGGGGTGAGCCAACGGTATTGGCCCTCGAGATGGATGTGAGCAGCACGCCGAGCGTAAAAGCGGCCGCAGAGCGACTTACGGCCGAGTGGGGACGCCTGGATATCCTAATTAACAACGCGGGCTACATGGCTCCCTTCAACTTGCTCCTTGATGCCGACGACGACGAGTATATGAAGGCATGGGATGTGAACTACTGGGGCACATATCGTGTCACGAAGGCGTTCTTGCCGCTGTTGCTCAAGGGCGGCGACAAGACGATTGTCAATATGTCTTCGGTGGCGGCTCACTTCATGGGTGCTGGAGGAGGAGCCTATCACATTTCCAAATTTGCGTTGATTCGGTTCACTGAGTTTGTTCAGGATGAGTATGGTGATCAGGTAACATCATTCACAAGCATGGATTTGAGATCATGAACTAAGCGTGTTTGAAAGGGCGTCTTAGCGTTTTCCATTCATCCTGGGGGGATTCCGACAGAGTTGTCTTCGAATCTGCCAGAAAGATTGCAATGTGAGTCAGCCACACTTTCAAATCGTGTTAATCTTGGTCTGACTATGGAGTAGTTCGAATGCGAGATACCCCAGAGCTTGCTGCCCATTCTATTCCATACCTTACTAGTGTCAAGAGGGATTGGCTTGGAGGGAGATGGCTTAGCTGTATGTGGGATTTGCCAACGCTTGTGAAGATGGAGCACAAGATTGTAGGAGGGAATCTTCTGAAATTTGAATGTGCAGGTTTGTAAAGGAAGTCAAGGTCCTATGGTTCTATAGACTTTGCATCAGCGTGAAGTCATCGGCAAGTTATATTCGCTTCAGACATTAATACTATAGTAGGTGACCGGCCTAAATATACACGTAGTGACTTGGTCCAACTCCCCTTAGGTTCGCTACTGAAGAACTAGTATCGAATGAAGCTTCCTCGATGTAAACCCATATTAAGAATACTCTTTGATCATGATAGGGGGAACAAGATAAAGGTACATCAAAAGACCAGAACACAAATTCTTGCAGAAGTAATTTCAAGCCTCAAGGCCGGCGTCGCTAAGAAAGCTGAAGACGATGCAAATGCCAATCAAGAAGACAAGAAATCGAATGTGGAAGGATAGGTACAGCGTATCTTAGAAGTAAGAAGACTTCAATGATTCCAGCGATTGTTCCAGCGAGCGGTTTGAGTAGACGAAGTAGTACAGTGAGCGGGATATATATGAATCTCACAAAGAGAATGCTAGGCCATCGGTTCCATTACTGATCATCTTCAGTGAGTGGTTAAGGCTCTAAGCTCCCGGTAAGTCGCCGGCTCACATTATGAAATGTGCCTTCTACTGCTATCTCTTTCCGTTAGGCCTTTCAATGGTCTTAACTCTGGTAGACTTTATGTTACTGACGTGATAATGGCGATGACCTGCGCAATTGAAGTCCTGGCAGACTCACTGACAAGGGCTCTACATTGCCGAGTCTTCCTTTATATCTGGGCATGGGCGTTTCGGATATTATCGACGTCCTAATGATTCAGTCGCCAGCTAATGTGTGTAAATGATTGAGAGATTTTCTTCTGAGGTTGGCTCGGCTCACATACTGTCAGCAGCTTTTGGGCTGATCATCAATCTTAGGCCCAAGGTCATTGCCAAGTAATGCAGCCTAATCTTTGCTGACAGCGCGTGAATAGACAACACGTATGTCTCAAGCTCCGAGAAATAATGATTGGACGGAAGGAAAAGCCATCGGCCCGTTATGTAACGTGACATTCTTATCAGCGGGGTTTCTACCTGCGCTATGTGATCTCAGCAAACAGCCTCATGTTCTAGCGACTTCATTCGTGAATCACAACAGTCATCCCATCTCGCTACATTGCCAAAGCACAAGCAGTCATGGTTGCCGATGTAGCTGCGATAGAGTTTGCAGGTCTGCTACTCCAATTCGCACAAATCAGCGTCACATTATTCCATCATGCTCGAGAAGGCTACAGCTCTGCCTCTGGTTCCACAGCTCGCGATGAAATCTTGACGGTACACGCAAGCCGAACAAGGGACCTAGCCAAGAGCATTCTTGAGAATGACGCGGGCTTGAAAGGTCGCTCAACTGAGCTCAGAGAAATCACCCGGGCCTCTAAAAAGGCTGCGACGGAGTTGATCGACTTGCTCGATACCTTGAGGGTGAAGGTAGAACATGGCAACAAAATGTCCCGGAAGTGGAAAAGTTTTGAGCAAGCGTTACGACATCTAGTGAATGAAGGGAAGATTCGCAGACTAGAAGAAAGGCTTGAGAGTCTCTGCAAAGATTTACAAATGTTTCTTGCTTTCGCTACCGAGTAAGTCCATGTAACTCCTGGAAATTCCTGGAGTGTGGGAAATGTCTTTGAGCTAATTATTTGGATAGGAAAAGACAGGACGAAATACATGAAATTGTCCAGAGTTTGAAAAACCAGAATGATATCTTAGAGGCTAAAACATTCGGAAAATTGGATGAAATCGTTGAGGGGATCGACAAAACTACGGAAGTCCTGTGCCAGGACTTGAGCAACACCTACTTCGCACAGATTGAAGCGTATCAAGAGGAAGTCAATCGCTTCCAAGGAGAGGTTCTGCGAGTGAGAAGACAGCATCAAATTTTACAGAGTTTGAAGTTTGATCAAATCAAGACAAGACAAGCAGCGATCAAGAAGAGTCACAGAAATACGTTCAACTGGATCTTCGATGAGAAGAACACCACCTTCTCGCGATGGCTGGAGTCCGAGAATGGTTTTTATTGGATTCGAGGAAAGCCAGGGAGTGGAAAGTCTACTCTGATGAAATTTCTCGTTTCCCACCAGACAACCAAATTGAAGTTACGAAAATGGGGCAATGGCTGTACAACTGTAATGGCCGGCCACTACTTCTGGAATGCAGGGAATACCATGCAAAAGTCTCAGCTTGGCCTTTTGCAAACCCTTCTCTATGAGGTGTTGAAGGAGATGCCAGATCTGATCGAGCAAGTTTGCAGGTCCCGCTGGTCCTGGCCAGAACCTACCCTTACGGACATATGGGACAAAGGTGAACTGCTCACAGCTTTCGACATGCTCGCCAAACAAACGGAAATATCTGCTAAATTCTGCTTCTTCATCGACGGATTAGATGAGTACACGGATCGAGCCAAGCGATACGACGAAACCTTTGAGGATCTCTTGGTAATTCTGCAGACCTTTGCCGCCACGCCAGCCTTCAAAATTTGTGCATCAAGCCGACCTTGGCAAGCTTTCATCACTGCATTCGATTGTAGCTCCTGGCAACTCAAGATGGAAGATATGACCAAAGAAGACATCAGCAAATACGTCACTGACAACCTGCATAACAACAAGAACTATATAGCTCTTGTTGAACAGGATGACCATTGCTCACTGGTAGCAAAAGTGATCGTCACTAGGGCACAAGGTGTGTTTCTATGGGTCTATCTTGTGGTCCAATCTTTGTTGAATGGCCTGATGAATGGAGACGATTTCAAAGAACTGCTACAGCGATTGGACATGATACCGAACGACCTGAAACAATACTTCCACCACATGCTCGAAACGATTGAACCGGTATACTGGGAAAGCACCTCTCGTATCTTCCGGGTCATGATTGAATCCGGTCAGGCGTTGCCCCTCTTGGCTTTCAAGTTCCTCGACCAGGAGATGGAAAATCCACAATATGCTTTGGATATGAAGATTGAGTCACACGTCGCGAAGGAAATGAACTCGGTGTTCGAGCCGCTCAAGAAACGTCTAAATGCGAGGGGCAAAGACTTGCTCTACATCACATTATGTAGAGACATGAAATCGCCCTTGCAGCATCAAGTCGACTTCCTACACAGAACTGTCAGAGACTTCTTCATTGATCAGCAGGTTATCAACCAGATGATACGTACAAGAAAGACGCTAAGCTTCAGTCCCGCACTTTCGCTTTGCAGAATAATGCTGGGCCTGAGCAAGGCTGTTCCATTTTCCACCTTGGAACCGGACTTAAACCATGTTTTCCTGTTTTCCGATTGTTTAATGCGTTGTGCTTGTACGGTTCAAGAGGAATACGAGACATATCGCGTCGCTTCGGACGATCGGTTACACGATGCTCAAAATGATTTGAACCAGACCTTTCGACTACTGGACGAACTGGAAAACACGAATACGGCTCGCACTGGTGACCTCAGTGCTCACTGGACAAGTTTGAAAGATATTCCCAAGGGTGCCTTTCAGGAGCGCAATCTGAAGAACTTCATCGGAGCTGCGATACAAAGTAGATTGTCCCTGTACGTGAAACAGAAGATCACACAGAATAAAGGTCAAATCCAGACCAAAAGGGGAAGACCGCTACTTGACTACGCCTTGCGGCCAACCATGGTGACACCTTTACAGCTTCCCAAGCAGGAAGGTCCAGTCCTCGCGACTGTGCAATTCCTCTTGGAGAATGGAGCAGATCCGAATGAGAAGCTGGAAATTTATGGCGGAAATACTCCGTGGAACTTGTTCCTTTCTGGTTGCTACGAGCATAGTCTTGAGTCAGATAAGTGCGACCTTGACATAGACGAGATTGCTGGTGCAATGGAGGCAATGCTTCTCCATGGGGCAGACTCGGCGTGCATGGTAACAGCTGACAGCGGCAAGCAGATAAATATGTTGGAGATTGCTAAACACATGGAGCTGCCAGAGTGCCAGGTTCGTCGAATTCGCAAGGTTATGAGGGCGAAGGAGGCCATCCAACAGCCAGGGTTACTTAGGAGACTCAGAACTCTGATATGGGGAGAGCTTAAATAACCTTCTATGACAGCAGAAGTATACATAAAAATCAGGTGAGAGTTTTCACAATCGACTACCGAGGCATACAATTTTTCCTTTCGACGCGTTCTGGTCAAGATCGTAGACCCAAACTTGACTGGCAATAGTGTGGATTGTAGGTGGCCTCTTTGTCGAATTTCATGATAGGGTACCTATATAGCCCGGATTTCTTCATAAGGGAGATCCAGACAGTGATTGACAAATTGAAAAATCTACAACAAACAGCTTTTCGAAACTCCGCATCGTTGAGGCATCGATTCCTTGGAACAAGATCTCACAAAGAAACTCATGAGAATTACAGATATTGCACCAACCGATGTGTCCCAGGGACCTCTCCATTAAGCTCGACCACTTCGGGTAGATGTAGTGGAGTAAGGTAGTCAGTCATTCAATGCTTTCACGATGCATTCGCCACTACCTTCGCTGGTCGCCGGTCCGGTAGCCTCTGAGCCCTCTCCGCGCTGTGTATTCAATCAGTTCCTCCGTACTTTGTCGCTTTTTTGTTTACCTGAAGACTCGGCCTCCCTTCTTAAGCGCTGAATCATTCCGCTTCTGCCGAACGCGGACAGCAACATCCTTAGAACCAGCGGTCCAGCAAACCTCCGAAACCTCCGACATCACGACCTTTTCGTTGCTTGATCCTTCTCAGCATAATCGTCGATTACAGTATAGAATACCCCGGCAAGACTGACAACGAATAGCTACTGGTCGCTGCCGCGCTTGCCCTCGTGGAGAACCTGAGGAAGCAACTGAAGACATCTTCTCAACATTCCGTAACTGGGTCTGTCACCGCCGCTGCTCACCAGCCTCCAGATCTGGAAGGTGAAGGAGACTACTCACACAAAGGGAAGGCACGCAGTCCCTTCCTCGAGGTTCCTCCCAACACCGCTCCTGCCATCGACAACCGCGGTCCTTCCACAGTCATCCGACCCACCCCCAATTCTCCCCAATCAAGCCGCCATCTCACTCCCGCGCTGCCCTCGACCACGTCGATAGCCTTCCCAATGGCGAGCATCGTTATCCGACAGGATCCGGGATCCATTTACCGACCCGGCCGAACCAACATTGGCTACAGCATTGTCAGCGACGATGGCGTGATTGGAGAGTTCGTGATACAGTCTCATAGGTCAAGTCTCTTATGCGGAGCTAGCTAACACTCGAGACAGACCCGCCCCTCAGGACGACGATTCTTGGATCGAGTTCCTGACCGACGAGGCGATCGAGGACCTCGAAATGACTCCGGATGGCCTCTCTGAGAGCGATACGCAGTCGCACGACGCCCAGCCCGACATGTCAGAGAAAGTCATTGACTCAATCGAGGCGATGAACAGAGAGAACCGAACCGAGGAGGAGAACCAGGAGGACAAGGCCAGTCATTCCATTGCCACCCGGGTTCGAAATGTAACACCTCCCTTCCTAGCTTCTCGTTCTCGCAATATTGACTTTCAGGTACAGGGACCTCTCAGCCCCATGTTAGTTGATGGCATCCCCCAGGTAAGAACGTCACTGCCTTCTCTCCCCCCCCCCCCCCCTCCTTGTTGAAGGAAACACCCCTAACAATATGTCGCTGTCCAAGAACCCCGACGAGATCTACTCATCCGCGGCGCCGCTTGACCAGCGCGTGAAGTAGGACTCCACGTTGGACGGCTTCCGAGGCTTCTATGACAACATGGGCAACCCCTTCTTCCAACATGACTATGACTATGAGCCCGCTTTACCCCCTCACCTCCGTCGCCCCATCTTCGTCGACTGGGCCGAGCCCTTCAAGAACCCCGTCTACGCTCTTCGTTACCTTGCAGAGATTGCCGGAGACTACTACACCGTGGCTCTCATGAACCAGAGAATCAGCATGCAGCAACGCCCGCAGACACCAGGTGCTCAGAGCGTCTTGCAGTCGCACCTGCTCTCGCCTGCTGCCTCGCATATCGCTACGCCCGCTCGCACGCCGGCTACTAAGCGCCTTCGCTTCTCCGACGATGTCGTTCGCTCTGGTTAAGAGAATCTGATGAACAAGGATGCGCTCATTCTCGATAAAGCTCAGAGCATTGGCAATTCTGCACGAAGAGAGGATCGGCAAAGGATAGGAGTATGAAAGCATAAGACATACTTTTACAGTATGATGGCTCAATGGTTTCAGGAGCCAGAACTAGTCTCAGCAACAGGATACCCGTGGCCAAGTTGGGTTGACACACAGCTCTGGAATAAATACTCCTCTTGTACTCTTACTGCTATTTCATGGAGAGACTTCCCAGTGATCAACTCGAAGAAGCAGAATAGACCCAGACTCGCTGGGTTTGACTGCTGCCCCGAGTATGTAGCGCTGTCCCGAGAGAATCTGAAAAGACCGATCAGACCACGAAGTGCCATTGAACGTATCCTTGATCCTGCGCCAGGATTCGGCATGAACGACTGCGTTATGCTCGACAAAGTCCAGCATCTGTGGCTGATCCGTCCCTAGACTACATGTCATGGTCCGCCCGTCCGCCTCCAGACGCACCCCGACCACGATGTCGCGCACGAACGTTCTCGTAACGGAGTCTAGGGTCTCAGTGATACGGAGCACGATATATGTGATGGTTTGTTGCCCAACATAGTAGATCCATTGGTGCGGGCTAATACTGCCGGTGCTGAAAGCCTGGCCTGCGGGGTCGGACTTGTGGACTTGGAGCGCAAGGGCGTGTTTCCCCTCCATGGATATCCTGAAAGTCTTGGATGATGCTTGCCCGATAGCACCTTCGCGGCCAACTTCTGGCCCGACCAGACCATAAGAATTTGCCATTGATAGATACAGCGGCTCAGGAAACGCATTATCAATCCTAGCCGTGATCGGCATAGCGCGGATACGGCTTGTGTTAGGTCTAACGTATAGTCCATTCTCCGGGTCGACGCACTTGACTTCGACACACAAGTAGTACTCTTTGGTGTATCCATCGCGTGGAAGGATGAGTAGGTAGCGAGTCCACAAATAACGTGCTTCCATGGTGTTAGGTGAGACATAGACTTCTGGCAGCTGAACATGCAGGCCTCGGCTTGTGACTGTAGGAGGTACCGTCTTCAAGTTATCTCTGAGGCCTCCGAAGGTGGAATACCCGGCTTCAGACTTGAACGAGGCTTTGGGGAGGTATTTAAGACGCTTAGCATTATCCCAAGTCAACTCAGTGTCACGCACAGGTAAATCTCCAGGGAAATAGAGGCGAACTCTTTCGAAAGCGGCAGGACTTTGTGCAAGGACGCCGGATTGCTCTCCTAAAGAGTAAGTCTGAGCCCAGAGGAGAATGCTCATGTCTTCCGAATTGCGTATGATCTCTTGCTGCAGGCGGACGAAAGCTCGATCCCCTTCACCGTAAAGAAGTGGCATGTGGATGTCGAATATGCCCAAGAGGCAGTACGCGATGTCCTCCTGTCGCGTTGTTTTCCTTGTCGAAGCCCAAGACATACGTTCGGCTACGGGCAACGATGGTATTGGGGTGTCATGCGAAAGGAAGTCACGTCGGATTCCCGTCCGGTTGTGTAAGAGGTACTCGAGAGAGGACTTGGTCCCAACTTCGTTCCAGTCGCAGTCATAGAATTCGATGAGCCTGGGCGCAAGTAGCTCTTGGAGAGTCCAGCCTCTCGTGAACCACTTGGTAGACTTGAAAGCCAAGTAGTCCAGCCGGCCAGGCTTCTGAGCCAGCAGGTCGCTAAGGTAGACGTAGCAGACGGTCGCGTTTTGATACCAGCGGAACATGGAATTGATGGCTTCGGAGACATCGGCACTCGAGGTTTTATCGATGCAGCACGTATCGATCCAAACCCAGATGATGCCGTCCCGGAGGGCCTGGGCACAACAGGCGCGGACCTTGGCGAACCCCTTCTTGAGGGCATAAGAAGAATTGGTGACATCTTGCAGTGTAACCTCGTCTTCTTCCCAGGTGTGCGAGAGGATTGCGTAGATTGGGATGCTGTAGCCGAAGAACTCATGCAGCTGAAGACTGGTGGCATTTAGGAGCCTCATCGTCGAAAAGCCCAAGGCTAGCAATCGTAGACGTAAAGGAACGAAGAACAATAGGAAATACACCGGTTTTACAAGCTCTCAGGTCATCTACCGGATGGCGATAGTCGCAGATTCTGAAAATCCATACGCACACTTGAGCGGTGAGACAGCTGCAGCATGTCGGACACGGCGCCACACGCAACGTCGGCGAACCAATACGGTATTCAATGGCGCCGTGGTGCTGAACAGCACTCACTTTTGTGAGCATGTCTTCGGTCTTTGGCCTGATTATCATGTCAGCACCGAAGCATCCGGACATCTTACTCTTACTCAGACAGAGGCAACTACAACAACACCGTGTGACCATTGCAGACGACGACCTGACGGGTATGGTACCAGGCTGGCACTGCGTGTTCTTCTGGTGTTGTTGAACATCTCCAAAGCCAATGTGTCGTCACGTGGGAGTCCAGTAATAGCGACTCCAAAAGGTTCAAGATTGCGAAACAGCCACATTGGGGGCTATGGTGGTTAGAGTGGGTGAGTGCCGGAATTGGGGTGTCTCAAGCAGGCTCGCTGGGATTATGGCGCAGCCTTCAACATGGATAGTTGTCGATAGTCGGGGGGAGCCGGCTCCGATCACGAGGTATCCGTACCCGTATTATTGAGTGTATACTCCGTACAGAGCCGACGAGCGAGGTAGGTAAGATGAGAAGGGGCGAGCTGGGCCTCATGATCTCATGACCGAAGCTGCTGTTCCGTCCAGGGGCGTGGAGGCGAGGCCTAGTCGAGATGTGCTCTGACTGGGGTGAGAATGGATTCCCGTGCGCTAGACGTCATCGGCCCTCAAAGTCAGCAGGGGTTGGCGGGCCGAGTGCAGTGGCAGCTGTCTCATCTCGGATGGTCGTGAGAAATACACTTGATGGTGAATGTCATTGTTTTGAAAGCCACAGAAGCAAACAATGATGAGATGTCTTGGTGTTTCCTGGGCGACGGAGCTTACAGCTTGAAGCTGTAGCCAGAATGCAACGTCAGATGCAAAAAGATTACAGAGGGTTTACATGTAATGCGCCCGATGGATGTGAAGGAGAGAGCTTCAGAGGAGCAGCCAGTAACATCTCACGCCTGAGAGCATTTGAGCCAATCCTCAGGCACAAGTGGAGTTTAGCTAGGATACGTATCGCCTTACATAAGGCAGCATGTGATACAATGGCCCGGGAAATGCGGGTCTGCAGCTTCAGGAAAGAGCTAGGAGGGGCGAGCTACAGGGCGGGGTACCCCTCTTTCGCACCTGCCTCCCCCCCAGCTCAGCTTCGTCACACCTCACCTCACCAGCAGACGGCAAGAGCAACAGGCCACAAGGGCGGGTGTCTCCTGCTCTCTTGAGTCTCGACCTTGGGTGCTGTGTGCCCGTCCCATGTGCCTCTCTCCTGTCATTGCCATACCAACTGTGCCAACCCAACTCCAACCACAACCAATACGCTCATCCATCCGACCACCTTATTCCAGACGCGAACGTGCCTTGCTGTTCCAGTTCAACCCCTCTTCCAAGTTCAAGGTGTGAAGACGCAGACGGCAGAAGATTGGAGAGACTACAAAACACACCACCACCCGCGCCCATCCACACTCCGCCCTCCCGCACCCAGACTCCCATCCTCCACCCACGTTCCCCATCGCGAAAACCACCGTTTGACTACTACGCTTACCACTTATCATCCCAATCTCAAGGCGGAACAATCGCAAATCCTGTCTTGTTCCTTACCCTGCGCAACGAAAACGAGGCGAGACGAGTCCGTACACCCCAGCTTCACCGGAACCCGCCGATAGCTCGCCCCGTTCGAGTATCAGATACTAGATCCCCCGCCAACCATCAACACCACCAACAAATCAACCATGTCTGACGAGAACACCAAGTCCGTCGTCGACGAGACGCCCATCACCCACCCCGCCGGCGAGCGCAAGAACTCGCTTGAGGCCCACCTCCAACACCGTCCCGATCGCGCCGAGTTGGTCGAGAGTATGTGAATCCCTTCCCACAGTCTCCATCTCGTGATCCCATCCCTGCCTCAATGTGCATTTGAATCTGCAACCACAAACAACGCCGCCTTCCATTCGAATCTGCCCTGGATACACTGTTGTCGCGATTTCCTGTTTTCTTTCCCCTATTCGATGCGTGCCCCCTCCACATCTTCCCGTCCGTCGCGCCCCACCGTCCGCCTCACCCGCCGATCATCAAAACCGGGATCACCTCGAATTGTCCGGAATAAAAACCCCACTCTCAATGCGCCTGCTGCGCATAGCCGGGGACCTTACGCCGCCTCGTCCCGGATTTGCATTGATACGATGGTAACATGCTAACTGACCTTCCAACAGAGAATATCTTGCCCGCCTCCAACGCTGCGCCTAGCTTGATCGCCCACCAGAAGGAGCTTGAGAAGCACATGCGTGCAGACTCTCTCAACGACAAAATCTCCCACCGCCCTGCCCCCGAAGACCTCATCAAGGAGGGCGTGCTGAAGGAGGACCCCCGCAGCGCCGACGACAAGTATGCCGAGGCCATCGAGGACGAGTACGCCAAGCGTGAGGGTGGCGCGTGAGTTCGTCGCGATGCGCTCCTCGACGGTATTTGATCACTTGTCTCGTCATTCATTCGCGCTGCTACGACTTTGAGGCGAACATGGTGGAGGATGATGCACATTGAGGACGTGCGGAACGACAATGTAGGATTATTGGTATTCGGTACCGCGGTTATATGATATGGAGGATCTGCACTCTTCCATGAATGAGTCTACGAATAGCAGAAAAGAGCCAAAAACAAGTTTAGTTGTTTCCTTGTCAGGGCAGTCTGGTGGATCACGAGCCAGACTGGAACTTTAGCTTCCGAAAATAAACAAGAAAAGAAAGAACAGAAACATGGATTGGATTGCCATCAAATTGCCATCAGAAACGGGGATATCAATGACATGCATGCATCATCAACTTTTTTCTCGCAGCCTTGTCGTGAATGAAGCCTGCTCTTATCGGCGGACACGAGATGGCAGATCCAAGGGTCTTTTTGGGGTATTACGGAGTACCTCTGTTGCTATTATTGGAGCACTGGCATGCCACACAGCCGTACTGGAGCCCTCCTCCCCCCAGGCACCCATTAACATGTGAACTATTTCCTAGCCTCAGGGCGACAAGTTGGAAGGCAACAAAAGAACGCAGAAGCCATACCAGTATATTTGCAACTCTGAATTAATGTTTTGACTATTTTAAGTATCTGGGCAAGGTCCCCTTTACTGCCGGTGGAAATACCTTAGTTGAGGTGGCCCATATCACAGCCCATCCCACGCTCATGGTGCATGAATGACATCTTAGGCTGCGCTTTAATCAAAGACACATGCAAGTCATTACCACGAGAAAGACACAGGGAGGAAAGACAGATGGGGCTCAGCCTTCAGGAGAGAGAGAACTGACGCAAGTCATCAGGGCAGTCTCAACTTCACTGCCTCCACAGCCAGCCCGGCCTGGTCTGAAGTCGCAGTCTGGACTGGACCAAGCTGTGCTTACTATGGTACCGCACGCGACACCATTTCCCCCATCCCCTTCCTCCAACTTTTTTTTTTTTTTTTTGCATGTATTTCTCCATGGCACGGTGGCCTATCGTCGCATTTCCGCACTCGGACTGCCGTCCTGCCGTCGCTCCCGCCCCTTGCAGTTGCAGCAGCGCTGGGCCGCTGGGCCTGGGGAACCACAATCAATCAGGGGACGTTGACATGCCTTGCTTACCCTATGGAGTACGGGGGACCGGATACTCAGCAGTGTAGTACACTGAGGTGGGCTCCCCTTCCCCTGGAAGAAGTTCAGTCTAGGGGAGTGAGTGCAGCGACACTTTTTGCTTGCCTTGCCTTGCCTTGAATACTCCCGAGTCTGGACCCCTTTCTTCCAAGTAAACGTTTGCTTTTCCTCAGGGGGATCAATCAGTCTTGGTGCGAATACATGGGGCAGATGCTGGGCCGGCCGTGTGTTTGGAAACTTTTGTACCTATTTTCCCGCACTTTTCCCACAAACCCTCGAGCCCTCGTCGTTGTTCACTTTTTGGGTTCAGAGACAATGAGGCGGGCGGACTGGTGGGTTACAGAGACAAAAATTCAAATTCCCCATTTGGAAGGACTGCGCAGGCACACCGAGCTTATGGTTGGGTTGGGAGAAGGAAAAAGGAGACATGCATGTCACTCATTGGTGGTAGGCTGGTAGGCTTGAGGTAAATGTGCAAAGAAATTGTAACAGTTTGTTGAAGAATTTGACAGTACCATCGATCTACGGGCGAGCACAAAAGTGTCGCAGATCCAGTGGTTATCCCGTAAAACACAAAAAATCCCATCCGTCTAATCTAGACATGACAGTGGCTCCCGTCCCATCCGTCGGTGCAACATACAAAACATACAGGTATCAACCTCCTATCCATCCTTGGGAGGTGTTCCCACAATACCAAATTCCCATGTGTCCCCATTATCATCCATGCATCCCGTAAAATTCCCAATGCTGTTCCGCGGGCCAATCACGGTGTTACAATATGCTGTATCCGTACAGGAGTGCGAAAGCCGCCCAGTCGCTTATGCCCGAAATTCCCCCCCAATAACGCCAGTCTTTATGCATTTACAAAGTGAAGTGGTTTATATGTTGTCGTTGAAGAGTGAAAGAGTCGCATCGGCATCGCTTGCTCTAGTGGCGCGAGTATCCGCCGCCGTAGTGTGGTGATGGAGCGTGGGCGTCGTAGCCAGCTTGCTTGCGGTTGATGATCGTGACGCCGCTGTTCTCCTTGATGGCAGCGCGGTGCTGGTCTGCGCCGTAGACACGGAGGTAGGCCTCATCGCTGGGAGAGATGGAGCGAGGGGTGGAGGAGCCTCTTGATGAGGCGTAGGAGCCTGTTGATGCCGAGTAGGCGCTGCTGATAGAGGCCGGGGCCTGGTGGACGACCGGCTTGGAGGAGCTGTATCTGGAGGCCATGTTGTGTTTGGTGTTGCTCGAGTATGGGGTTCGAGTTGTGCGTTGAGGGTTGTGTGATAGATGGAGGTTGGTCTCCAAAGGTGATGTGTTTGTTGAAGAGAGTTGAGCTGGTAGGGTGTTTATGAAGTTTGGTTGACGAGTGTTTGACTTGGGAGTTTGGTAAAGAAGATGTTCGAGTCTGGGAAGAGAGGCAGAGGGCATGGCAGGATATATAGATGGGAGGTGTTTGCAGACACCACACCCAGACCCGGGATGCCTCCATCATCTTTGTACGTACACTTGTAAGTACGGATACTCGAACGCGTGTGCCATCAGCACTTGCCGTAGGCAGGGCATGCTTGGTCCCGGGGTGTACGGTACGGCAGAGAGAAAGAAGAGACAGAAAGAAAAGGCCCGCAAAAGGTTTGGCCTGCCTGGCCATGCGAGAGGTACCTGGACATGGACCGGGACCTGGACCGGGCAAAGTAGAAGAAATGCCTTGTGGAAAGTCTCGCTGATGGGTGGTGTGTGGTGTAGGCGAAGCAAAGGGTAAGTGACTCAACCTCAGCCCAACCTTGGACCTTGGAAAGCATTGCTTGGAAAGCAGACTCTGGCACGGGAGTACGGACGGAGTAGAGGTGCCAGCCCAGGCATGAGGTGTGAGGCAGTGTGGGGATAGCCCTGGATGCTTTGGGGCTGACCAGAGTGTAAGAAGGGCCGGGTGTGTGCGTTTAGACTTGAGAATCTATGGTGTCCTGGCCTCCTGGTGTGTGCGTGTGTGTGGCCAGTTCTTCTTGTGTCGCAAGGCGACTGGGAATCCATTGGGCAGCTTTGTCATTTCAGGGCCCTTCAAAATGCAGGGACGTTAGGCACGGGAAACGCTAGAGTGGTTTAGTCCGAAGTAATAAAGTCCATGGATTACCAAGGAAAGCAGGGAAGAGGGCTGTTGTGATGTTGCAGATGCTGTGGAAACCAGAAAAGGGTGCGGTTGGCGGGCCCCTTGAGCATCTTTCCGGACTAGACGACAGGATGCAGCGCGTGTGCGTCTATGAAGTCCTACCAGACAGACTACCACACTACCGGGCAAATAACGCCAAAGTCCTTTGGGGCCATGCTTGATAGTAGCAGGACTTACAGCATCAGGAGAAGCAGTATCCGTACCTCTCAGGAAACCCTCCCTTGATGCCTCGGTGGCGAAACATCATGCATGATTGGACGAGGGATGGTCGGACGACGCAGGTAGGGCGGATTCAGGGCGATGATTGACAGGACTGCCGCTGTGTCTCGCCCTGCTTGGATGTTGTACTATGTCCCGCTTTCACCTGTGTCCGCCCTTTAGCCGCCGTACGTATCATTGACACAGTTTGTCATCATTCATTCGCAGCTTCGAGACGTCCAGACTCAACAACTGATCAGTGATGCCATATTCCGCGCCAGCCTGATGTCGATGACCAAGCGGCGACGCGTAAGTGCCGTCTTTTGCGGTCTTGTGGCTGCTCAGCTTTGGGGGCCAGAACCTGTGATTTCGCGGCAGAAGTAGAAAAAAAAGCCAGAGCAGCTACGGCCTTACAGGAACTTGGCTGTCGTCGCTCATCTTCAAGGACTCGTGAGACTGCCAGCCTTGGTTGGCCCCCGTAAGCGCTTCGCCGCCATGCAGGACACTCTGTGAGTGTGTGCCAGATTGGGAGGCCACCCCTCAGCCGTGTTGCCAAATCTGGAATGGCACAGAGGAATTAAAGATTTTTCTGTGCTCTTGTTGCTCGAGTCTCAAGAAAAGAAGGTATCAGTACCAGCATAGCCCCTGGCTCACGGAGGACTGTCGCTGCCCAACTCATGGCCCGATGATCCTCGGGTTGCCATTGTAATTTGCTTCCTTTTTCTTCTTGTCACTCTGGTTTCCACTCAGTCGGGACCATCCGCCGGAGACAAGAAATGTCTGTGTTTCTGGAAGCCGGTCGAGTTGGGCCTCCAAGGGGCCAGAGAGTTCGGATCGAGCCTGATGTCTTTGGAGGCGGACAAGGGGCATCCCCTGCTAAGTAGACTGCGACCCAACAGGCCTCCATCGCATCCATTCGATCGGGTCAATCGTGGCCTCCAGAAGACGCCAGTTATGCAAGTAGTAGCGATCTAGCTACAGTAGCTAAATTGCCTGCAGAACAAGTGCTAGAAGCAGATCGCGGGAGTCTGCAGCGATGCAGCGGCGGTGATCATTCTGCCGAGTGGAGGTGTTCATGCCTCCAATGTGCAGGGCAATAGGGCGAGCTGCATGATTTGATCGCCCACTGGAGGCCGGGCGACAAGTGAGTCCGATGTTTCTATGCTGTGTCGTGCCACACTGGCAGAGAGGGTACGACGGAGCAGCAACATAGCTGCTGCTGCTACCCAGCGTCGACAGCCTTCAAATGTGCAAAAAGAGACATCATGCAAAGCTACCGCCAACCGCCTGCCTGCGCAGTTTGGCTTAGTGCATCTTTCGTCGTCTCTCATATCGTATCGATGCATCCGTCGGATAGGCAAGGTACCCCTTTGCGCGGAATGACCGTGATTCTGATCCGGTGTGTACCGGTATCCCCCCTTTGCAGTAGCGGATGCTGAATCGCCAGTTGAAAGCTGCCAGTCTGACAGGTACGCAGCACGAAGCGGATGACATCTTGATGTGGGCGGAGCATGGCTGCTGTAGTCGTAAATTGCTTGGTGACTAAAGTCTGATGGACTGACGTGGTGGAAGAGAAACGGAAAAAGCACCTGGGCCAGGCACCCGCCAGCAGAGATGAAATGTTCCGAGCTTCAGCCACAGTAAAACCAGCTCATACGCCACACTAGAGACGCTACGTACCAGCTACACCTCTCAACATTTCAACATCAGCACTCGATGATGCTGGGTAGTCAAGCAAATGGGGATAGACTCTATGGTCGGCATAGGTACTTATTCTGGGGCCTTTCGAATCGAAAGTCACGTTCCTCACAGCTTTGAGAAACCTCTTCATTTGAGCCTGACATCGTCATTATGACTAAACGTGTATCAGCCTAACTACCATTCGACGAGCTGAAGAAGCCGATGTGGAAGTCCTATCATCCGATATTGAGCTCGTAGAGCAATCTTCTGGTATCCTCTCAGTGGTGCCTTCAAGAGATGCGCTAGAAGCGGCGCGGCGAGTGGTGGACGCCTTACATGAACTCGCCACCCGTGGTTCGCGGCCGAGTAGCCCCTTCTACTTCATAGATCCCAACGCTGTTGCAGCGTCAACGGTTCGAGGGATAGCCGAACTCTTCACCTCGGTCCATCATAGTGCTCGCTTCATCGACGGCTTGATCTTAGGAGAGCCCCCCGTTTTCGTCTCGGCAAGCGACGTAGAGCCGCAGACCGTCTCACCTACGACGGCTACGAGTGGTGTTGAACAACGCTGGTCCATGGGTGCAGGCCCGAGTCCCCATTTCCGGTCCTCATCAGATCACGGATTTGCCCTATCATGGGGAGAGGTTGTATGCAGAGCTGAACATGCGTTATTTGGGCAGCGAAGTGGGAGCCGCCAGCGGACTGAAGATGTGTTACACAACCATGTTCAAGGGGTACATCGCAGTCGCCGCACGAGGGTTGACCACCGCGGAACGACTCGGCCTGCTCTACGTTCTCAAAGACGAGCTGCAGCTACGTCTCCCAGATCACTTACGTCTAGCCGAGAGCGGAGTCACCGTCACGCCACCGAAAGCATACCGCTGGGTATTCGAGATGGAGCAAATAGCCCGAACTCATGCCGAAGAGGGTGGGTTTGCCCTGGGTCTATTTCAAGGAGCTGCAGGAGTGTTTCGTGACATCGCGGAAAATAGCGTCCTCGGGAAAGAAAAGATTGGAAATAGAGTTCGAGGTACAATAATGGAAGACTTTGCTGCCATACTCGCAAGGGACTTGGAACACAAGACGACTTATTGCCAAGTCTCCCCGGGTAATGACGAGGACCATTCCTAGGTAGACTCATAGTTTAAAGCATGAAGTCAACAAAATGGAAGTCTCCAGCCATCAGGCGATTCGACCGCTCACTGCTGCTTTACCTTTCTACCTCGATACTCACATATCTAGCCTCGCCGGCAGGTCCACGATGGTCATCGGCAAGTCCAGCTACCTTACTGGGAAGCGACTTCGTGGTTGTCTACGCGAGGGAACATTGAATAGTCATTTTTGGGTCGCTGATGTAAACGATGGCGGCTATATACTTTGTCCCCCCGAGTTGTCTCTATACATCAACATCTCGTATTCGAGGGTTGGGTCCTTGAGGCGGATTCTGCCTTGGCCATGGAGACAAGTACGTCCAGCGCTACCGCCCAATTACTGCTAACCACGAGGGCGAGACCCATGGGAAAAAGAAACGACGACACCGAAATAGAAGAACCGAGGCCCGGACAAACGAGGCGGCGCGCACGGCCATGTATCCCCGGAAGACTCAGGTAACGCGGATTTCGTGTCTTGAAGTAGATTTTGCAAGGCTGTCGACGCCCTCTCACGTACTGCGTGAGATATCCACCATAACCACCATCATCACCAGGCAATGAAAGGATGCGATGGTCTGCTTGGTTGCTGGGTGAAGAGCATCGCCTTCCGGTGGCTTGACGTCACACAAGGATGTCAGCTGGGGCTCTGGGAGAGTTGAGGGAGTGGAGGAGAGCTTCGTTAGGGGGGATCTCTGCGATAAGGAAGCTTGAGCTATCGATAAGACAGAGCTGGAGGATAAGGTAAGGTACGTATCGTTCGCCCCGGAATATCTTGAAGGGGTCCACACACGGGCAGCAAGGACCTGGAGCTCCGGCCGTCAAGATTGGCCAATCGGAGGATAGTGAAGTTAAGGCGGCGTGTCTTTAACCCACCTTTGGCCAGTGTGTGGCAGTTCAGTGGCCCCTCCCTGCAGCTGTCTTCCTTGTTGCCCGCCAGCTGTATTGTTTCCCCTCCAGTCCGTCCAATTGACCGCCCACCTTCACGACTTTACCATCACCCTCATCAACCAATTTCCGCCTCGCCTTTCTCAAAACAGACACAATGCAGGGTCTCCTCCTCTCTCTTGGCCTTCTGGCCTCCAGTGCCGTCAGCTTCGTTGCTGCCGCTGACCTGAAGATCGACGTCACCCAGGAGGTCGAGTGCGACCGCAAGACCAAGAATGGCGACAAGCTCACCATGCACTACCGCGGTACTCTGCAGGCCGATGGCAAGCAATTCGATGCTAGTAGGTTACCATGATTCTACTGAAAGGTCTCTGAAGCAAAGCTGACGTCTCATTTCTCAAGGCTACGACCGCGGAACCCCCTTCAGCTTCAAGATTGGCAGCGGCCAGGTCATCAAGGGGTCAGTTCCCCAATAAATGATTGACTCGACGAGAAGCACTGGAATTCGTCGCGGAGGCTAACAATGGTACAGATGGGAGCAAGGACTTCTTGACATGTGCATTGGCGAGAAGAGGTAAGCATAGGGACACTCAATGACCAGAGACCAATCGTTACTGACGCCTCACAGAACCCTGACCATCCCCCCTGAGCTTGGATACGGACCCCGCGGCATGGGCCCCATTCCCGGCGGCTCGACCCTTGGTATGAACTATTCTGTCTGTTATTTGAAAGCTCTGCTAACTAGTGTCGTAATCAGTCTTCGAGACTGAGCTCGTCGGCATTGACGGTGTTCCCAAGCCCGAGAAGATCATTGTCAAGGCTTCCTCGGCTGCCAGCGAGGCTGTCGAGTCTGCCACTGAGGGCATTGCCGAGAAGGTCGCCAGCAAGGTCGCTGAGGCGGCTGATGTTGTCAAGACCATTGTCGCCGACTCTGACGCCGACGGCCAGGAGCACAACGAGCTCTAAATCAGCTCTCCCCGAAACGGTTCTATACGAATAGACTTGCATCCGGTAGAGAAAAGGCAATCAAGATCCAATCGGTGTCTACACGTGAAGCATTATTTGCTATGCGAAAGCATTCACTGGCAGATTTGGATTCGACGACATATATACGACGCGTCACGAAACTATTATGATCTAGGCGAGCGACTAAATGCTAATGAGCATCAACTTCTACTTTCCCGGTTCATATCTGAATTGTGCATGTGGTTGAAGTTGTTCACGTGCAGAATTGACAATCTTTTGAAAATCGTCATTGACATTGTAGGTTTATTAACTATTGTAGACCAGCGTTCTCTTTGGTAAGTGAGACCGACTTCTCTCGAGTCTTTTGCGTAAGGCACCTCCTCAACCAGCCTGGTACACAGCAAGCGCGGCAACATGCGGGTTGATCATGGTCAAATTGTGAGCCGTAACATACGTGTCAGTATCCGTAAGAGCAACAAACATGGTCGAGTTGATGGCAGGATCATGCTCCCACGTTGAAACGTTGGGCTGGATGGTGTACGCCGTACGAGACTCGAGGCTAACGTTCTGAAGTGGCGAGAAGGTGACATTCAGTTGCGACACCCAGGCGGCGAACTTTGGCTCCACGACGTTGGTCGCGGTGATGTAGCTGTTATTGGGACCAACCGCCTGGCCCGGGGCGTCCCATTGGAAAAAGACCTGGCGGCCTGGGTAGGAAAGGGGCATCGTGCGGTTCTGGGTGATGGCGGCATTACAGTCCTGGAGGGGATCCGTGGCGTTCACACAAGATTCAGCATCGGTGATGTTCGTCGTCGCCGCGGTGTTCGCCCAGCCGCCGGTAGTCTCATTCCAGACGTTGGAACCGTTGATGCGGTAAGGGTTGGGCTGGTTCAGGATGTGAAGAGCGGGGAAGTTCTGCCAGATGAGGCGGGTCTGATCCGCCGGACAGCTAGAGATGTAAGGTGCCAGGAGCGTCCAGGCCCAACTCTGCGGGATACCGGGAATGTGCCACTCGGGCATGGGGAACAAGCCCTCGAACTGACGAAAGATCATTTGCTGGCGAGCCTCGGTTGTGATGCTTTGCAGCAGCAGCTGGGCTGCCGGACCGGAGTTGAGGTGCGGCAGGAACCCGTAAACGCCAGACTCACCCCAGCGAGTGAGCTTCTGGTTGAAATCGATGTACTCCCGGAGATTGGTGACGGGGTAGTTGTAAGTGCACTGCTTGGGCGCTTGGGCGCCAAGCATGTTTGTGATGACGGTGGCATGACCAATCTCCTGTTCAGCCATAAACTGCAGGAGGTAGCGGTCCTCAGCATTCAGACCGAGCTCCTCGAACTCTTCATCGGAGAAGGTGGCAAGGCCCCAGTGGAAGAGGTCGAGCTCGATGTACTCCTGGTAGAGTGCCAGGGCGAGGGACTGGTAGTCGAAGTCGCTCTGGACGCGATAGACTGGGGCCGAACCGTTGGTACCGATGCCACCCGAAGGTGTATACGGCGCAGGCTGGTCGCCGTGGAGCTTGCCGTCTGCCGGGTAGTCGTAGGCATCATCTGGAGGGGGCAGTACCGGGACCTCGGAGGCTAGGACACTGGTTGAGAGCGCACCGGTCGTTGTTGGCGAGGGGCCCGTGTAGGGACCGTGGGAGGTGACGTTGGTGACTGCCACTTGTGACGGGGTGATAGTGGGCTCCGAGGTGACGGTAGTCTGTGGCTCGGAGACGAAGGGCACGGCGTACGCGCCGGAGGCCAAGGCGAGCAGCCTGAACATGCTCCTTGTTGCCATTATGTATAAGCTTCTGAGCTCTGATGTGTTGAGATGTCGAAGATGCCCGGCCAATGACTCCCTTCGCTGGAACGATCGTGGGCTCGCTCTTATACAAAACTTAGACCACTTTTCGGTGCTTGGCACTCCAATTATTGAATGACCGCGACATATCTAGCCAGGCTAATCGACATCAACCATTGAACCATTGTAGTTGCGAACAGAACTCGGAAGTCGAACTAGGTGAAGGGTTCGCCCCTTGAGATGAGTTCATGGACTTTGAAATTCCTCATCATCCTGGACCGTAGCCCCGGACTTTGGGCGGCAATTGCGAAAAACACACGTGGGCTTCGAGTCGTTGGCTGTAATCCTGCCGTCATCAGCTTTTGTATTGCGAGAGATTGATGTCCGCTTTAGTGAGCCTGCACAAAAAGCAGTCCAGAGTGTTAACGGCGCGTTTCTAGCTTACCACAGAGAAGAAACTTGCTCCGGCGTGCAACGAAACGAGCAGTTGCCATCAATCAGACGTCAGATACACTCCACGGAGTTGTCTCCGGTGAGCTCGGGGTGGGACGAACCGCATCAAGGATGGGCCTCGTGGAGAAATAACTCCGGGCCGTGAGTGGGTACAGCCGGCACCGATGACGCTTACATTAGGCGGATGAGGCTCTTTGTGCCACGAAGCCAAGAGTGATCCCGCAGTCCGTAACGTGGGAAAGGCGGGAAGTCAATCGATGAGATGAACTACTGAGGTACGGGGTAAGGTAGTATGAGCTAATCACTTTGATGGGAAGGATCTGTACTGAAAGAGGGAGACAGCAACCAATACCGCGTCAGCATGTCCGGATACAACTACCGGAACTTAAGCTCCGGGCCCTTGACCTAGAAGTATGAATCTGGAGTTTTTAAACGCCATGGAAATATGGTATCCATGAGTTGAATTTGTATGACACGGTACTTAATGGTACCGTAGACGTACGTTGAATGCTGGCGTGAGTAACAGCGCCGAGAGAATAGCATCTTCAATTAGTCTCAGTCTAGCTAACTCCGGCAACAATTTCATGCCATACCTACACGAATGCGAAAATCTGTTCTGCCACACTCTATACAACTAGCTGCCGCAGTTCCGGTACCGGTCCAAATCTTTGGTCCTCTTCTACGCTCTCCCGTGCAGTCGAAGTTGACAGCATCATCTCGGCGTCACCGTACAACCAATCTTCATCCCCACAACTTCCCCATCATACTCTTGGGTACTGCTCCTGCTCAACGGCGGGAGGCGGGGGAATGTGACAACTTTGGGAGCTTGAGAAAGGCAAAAAAGCATCCTCAATTGGGTTACTCAGTTGCCGCCCAGCACCCACTTCTTCTTGT